CTTGGTGCTTTGTGACCACCTAGAGGGGTGGGATACGGAGGGTGGGAGGGAGGGAGACGCAAGAGGGAAGAGATACGGGAACATATGTATGTATATGTATAACTGATTTACTTTGTTATAAAGCAGAAACTAAGACACCATTGTAAAGGAACTATACTCTAATTATTATTAATTATTATACTCTAATTAAAATGTTAAAAAAAAAATCTTCCACAAACAAAAGCACAGGACCAGATGGTTTCACAGGAGAATTCTATCCAACATTTAGAGAAGAGCTAACATCTATCCTTCTCAAACTCTTCCAAAATACAGCAGACGGAGGAACCCTCCCAAACTCATTCTATGAGGCCACCATCATCTTGACACCAAAACCAGACAAAGATATCACAAAAAAAGAAAACTACAGGCCAATATCACTGATGAACACAGATGCAAAAATGCTCAAGAAAATAGTAGCAAACAGAATCCAACAGCACATTAAAAGGATCATACACCATGATCAAGTGGGGTTTACCTCTGGAATGCAAAGATTCTTCAATCTATGCAAATCAATCAATGTGATACAGCATATTAACAAATTGAAGGAGAAAAACCATATGATCATCTCAGTAGATGCAGAAAAAGCTTTTGACCAAATTCAACACCCATTTATGATAAAAACCCTTCAGAAAGTGGGCATAGAGGGAACTTACCTCAACATAATAAAGGCCATATATGACAAACCCACAGCCAAATTCGTCCTCAATGGTGGAAAACCGAAACCATTCTCACTAAGATGAGTAACAAGACAAGGATGTCCACTCTCCCCACTATTATTCAACATAGTTTGGAAGTTTTAGCCACAGCAATCTCAGAAGAAAACGCAATAAAAGGATTCCAAATCAGAAAGGAAGAAGTAAAACTGTCACTCTTTGCAGATGACAAGACAGTACACATAGAGAATCCTAAAGATGCCACCAGAAAACTACTAGAGCTAATCAATGAATTTGGTAAAGTAGCAGGATACAAAATTAATGCACAGAAATCCCTTGCATTCCTATACACTAATGATGAAAAATCTGAAAGAGAAATTAAGGAAACACTCCCATTTACCACTGCAACAAAAAGAATAAAATACTTAGGAATAAACCTACCTATGGAGACAAAAGACCTGTATGCAGAAAATTATAAGACACAGATGAAAGAAATTAAACATGATACAAACAGATGGAGAGATATATCATGTTCTTGGACTGGAAGAATCAACATTTTGAAAATGACTATACTACCCAAAGCAATTTACAGATTTAATGCAATCCCATTCAAACTACCACTGGCATTTTTCACAGAACTAGAACAAAAAATTTCACAGTTTGTATGGAAACATAAGAGACCCCGAATAGCCAAAGCAATCTTCAGAAAGAAAAACGGAGCTGGAGAAATCAGGGTCCCTGACTTCAGACTATACTACAAAGCTACAGTAATCAAGACAGTATGGTACTGGCACAAAAACAGAAATAGAGATAAATGGAACAGGAGAGAAAGCCCAGACATAAAACCACTCATATATGGTCACCTTATCTTTGATAAAGGAGGCAGAAATATACAATGTAGAAAAGGCAGCCTACTCAATAAGTGATGCTGTGAAAACTAGACAGCTACATGTAAAAGAATGAAATTAAACACTTCCTAACACCATACACAAAAATAATTTTAAAATGGATTGAATACCTAAATGTAAGGTCAGACACTATCAAACTCTTAGAGGAAAACATAGGCAGAACACTCTATGACATAAATCATAGCAAGATCCTCTTTGACCAACCTCCTAGAGAAATGGAAATAAAAACAAAAATAAACAAATGAGACCTAATGAAACTTAAAAGCTTTTGTATTGCAAAGGAAACCATAAACAAGACGAAAGGACAACCCTCAGAATGGGGAAAATATTTGCAAACAAAGCGTCTGACAAAGGATTAATCTCCAAAATATACAAGCAGCTTGTGCAGCTCAATATGAAAACAACGAAACAATCCAATCCAAAAATGGACAGAAGACCTAAATAGACATCTCCAAAGAAGATACACAGATTGCCAAAAAACACATGAAAGGATGTTCAACATCACTAATCATTAGAGAAATGCAAATCAAAACTACAATGAGGTACCACCTCACACCGGTCAGAATGGCCATCATCAAAATATCTACAAACAATAAATGTTGGAGAGGGTGTAGAAAAAAGGGAATCCTCTTGCACTGTTGGTGGGAATGTAAATTGATACAGCCCCTATGGAGAACAGTATGGAAGTTCCTTCAAAAACTAAAAATGGAACTACCATACGACCCAGCAATCCCACTACTGGGCATATACCCTGAGAAAACCATAATTCAAAAAGAGTCATGTACCACAATGTTCATTGCAGCTCTATTTACAACAGCCAGGACATGGAAGCAACCTAAGTGTCCACTGACAGATGAATGGATAAAGAAGATGTGGCACATATATACAATGGAATATTACTCAGCCATAAAAAGAAACGAAATTGAGTTATTTGTAGTGAGGTGGATGGACCTAGGGTCTGTCATACAGAGTGAAGTAAGTCAGAAAGAGAAAAACAAATACTGTATGCCAACACATATTTATGAAATCTTAAAAAAAAAAAATTGGTTCTGAAGAACCTAGGGGCAGGACAGGAGTAAAGACGCTGACGTAGAGAATGTACTTGAGGACATGGGGAGGGGGAAAGGTAAGCTGGGATGAAGTGAGAGAGTGACACGGGCATATATACACTACCAAATGTAAAATAGATAGCTAGTGGGAAGCAGCTGCATAGCACAGGGAGATCAACTCGGTGCTCTGTTTCCAACTAGAGGGGTGGGATAAGGAGGGTGGAAGGAAGATGCAAGGAGGAGATATGGGGATATACGTATACGTATAGCTGATGCACTTTGTTATACAGCAGAAACTAACACACCACTGTAAAGCAATTATACTCCACCAAAGATGTTAAAAAAAAAAGAAGAAACATAAGGTAGACCTTACATAACCGATTCGGTTATGTGAACTATATTTAATTATATAAATTAAACCCAAGATTTTGAAAAATTGATGGATTGGTCAATTTTAGAGGAGTCCTGAACTTTTAAGATATACGAAGAAAGGTAATATGCACATTTTAAAACTCTTTTTATTCCAGAAGCATTCTAATCATTTAGTTCTAAAAACAGAATTGAATACCACCAAGTTACTCAAATGGCAAGACAGTTAAAATAGAAAAGTTCCAAAGATTTCAAAGAGAAGCAGACAGATCAAAATCTTTTCGTTTTAATGTTTTTAAAAATGTATTTTGCAATTATAAATTGGTTTTTACTGTAGTAATATTTTAAATGGTCCCAAAATGTAGGAATGGTTATGAAAATTATGATATATATATACAACATTATGTAGCCATCGAAAATGTTTATGAAGATCTTATAACATCATGAGAAGATGTTTGTTACAATGGTAAGTTAAAAGAGCAGAACTCAAAATTCCATACATAGTATAATCCCAGCTAAATTTTAAAAATCATTTAGAAGAAGAAAGTATTAAAAGGAAATATACCAAAATATTAACAGGAGAAGTTTGAGTAGTGGAGAAAGGGTTTGTTTTCCTATTTTTTTCTCTTTTCTTTATGACATTTACAATGGAGAAAGTATAACATTAATTTTTTCTAAGTTCTATACAAAGATAATTTTATAAGGTCACTTAATCTATCCATTACTGAGGTAACAGAAAAAAGCATTTAAACAAGTCATCAAGCTATCACATTTTAAGTGTAAAATTCGGTAAAAATTGGAAGAAAGCAGGCAAATTCTCACCTCAAGGCCGATCATTTTAACTTGACAACTGAGTTTTAATGAAACCATTAAAGTAGACTTCCCAGGACTTCCATGGTGGTGCAGTGGATAGGACTCCAAGCTCCCAATGCAGGGGGCCCAGGTTCAATTCCTGGTCAGGGAACTATATCCTACATGCATGCTGCAACTAAGAGATCGTATGCCACAACTGGGGAGCCCTTGTGCCACAACTAAGGAGCCAGCAATCCGCAATTAGGGAGGCTGCCTGCTGAAACTAAGGAGCCCTGGAGCCGCAACTAAGGAGCCCATATGCCGCAACTAAGGAGCCCACCTGCGGCAACTAAGACCTGGTGCAACCAAATAAATAAATATTTTTTTAAAAAGATGTTTAGGGGGCTTCCCTGGTGGCGCAGTGGTTGAGAGTCCGCCTGCCAGTGCAGGGGGCGCGGGTTCATGCCCCGGTCCGGGAGGATTCCACGTGCCGCGGAGCAGCTAGGCCCATGAGCCATGGCCACTGAGCCTGCGCGTCCGGAGCCTGTGCTCTGCAACGGGAGAGGCCGCAGCAGTGAGGGGTCCGCGTACCGCAAAAAAAAAAAAAAAAAAAAAGATGTTTAGGGACTTCCCTGGTGGTGCAGTGGTTAAGAATCCGCCTGCCAATGCAGGGGACACGAGTTCGAGCCGTGGTCCGGGACGACCCCACATGTCACGGAGCAACTAAGCCTTTGCACCACAACTAATGAGTCTGTGCTCTAGAGCCCGTGTGCCACAACTACTGGAGCCCACGTGCCACAACTACTGAAGCCTGCGCGCCTAGAGCCCATGCTGTCCAACAAGAGAAGCCAACGCAATGAGAAGCCCACGCACTGCAACAAAGAGTAGCCCCCGTTCAGCACAGCTAGAGAAAGCCCATGCACAGTGACAAAGACCCAACGCAGACAAAAATACATAAATTTTTTTTAAAAAGATGTTTAAAATAAACAAAGTATACTTCCCTATCAAAATCACAGAGAAGATAATCACTAGACAAAAAGAGAGAAACAAAAAACAACCTACTACTGAGTTTGTATTTTCCAAATCATACATGTGCATTAACTCACATAATAAAGGCTGCCAGCGTCACAGATAGCCTGTGTTTATTACATGTTCCTCATAGGCAAAATAGGAAAATAGTGTGGTCTTACTTGTGAAATATGATTGATTGAAGACTCCATCCTTCGAAGTTGGGACGCCTGGATATCCAGCATCTGCAGGACATTGTTGGCCAAGGTATTTATCAGATAGGCAACACTTGCTAAGGACTGGGTGGTGTAGGCTTTGGTTTCTTCTAGGGCTCGCTGCTTATCTGCTGACTAGAAAAACAAACAAACAATCATTACTTCAAAGATAACCCATTCTATCGATCTAATCTTCAAAAATACTCATCAAAACCATTATGTTGCTGAATCTACACACACTAGTGTAAAATGCTTTGAAAACTAGTTATCAGTATTCATGTAAACCCAACAACTAAATTATTGACTTCACTAATATTTTCACGTTGAATAGTTTCATCTTTGTACAGATGCAAATAAAATCCTGAAGCTGTTGTTTAAAAAATGAGATCCGATGGATATTTTGAGTAATGACAGCAAGTACAGTACATAGCTTCTCAAGGTCACTGCTTGGAAAGGTAGCATTGATTTGAATGAGTAAATTCTGGCGTACATTTTTCTACTTTCCTGAATTCCTCTTTTCCTTTCACTCTAACATGTAAAATGCATTTATAAAGAAATGTCTGTTTAAAGTAATAATGACAAAATAATAATGATAAATAAAAATGATGAAGTAAATAAAACGGTAATAATCATGATAAATAATGATAAATTAAAATAAAAGTAATAAAAGGACACTTTCTTCCCAAGCATCTTAAGTATTATAACCCTATGGAACATAAACTGCCATGTATCATAAACCCTACTTGAAAAACAGAGAGTACACAGTAAAAAGTGGTTAAGTGATTATTTCCAAGGTCACAAAGGAAAGCAATTGTAAAGTTACATATTCTATACTGCTGGCAAACACCATTTTCTTGCCCTAGTTCTACAGAAAGACTCTATGGTTCAGTAGAATGTACACAAGTGTCTGAATCAGAAAACTTTTATCTTAATGTCAGTTCTACCATTACAGCATGTCATATTTTAAGCAGTTGTGAACATCAAGTAAGATAATGAATGTAAAACCACTTTCCAATACTATAAATCATTATATCTAACAAACGTCATTACCTCTTTGAGCAGTCATTAACTGTTCAAAGTCCACTATGTCCCACTCTCCCCTCTCCCACACCGTTTAGGACTCTAAACTTCTAAACTTAGCTTAGAAAAACAGCCAAATAAGAAAAAGACATAGACAAGGATGTACACTGACAGTTAATGGTGAAAAAGAAAAAAACATGAGACTGATTAAACAATACATTCATATACTACCTTTATGCAGTAATGAAAATAGTATTGTTATGTATTACTGATATGGAAAAATATCTACAAAATAACTAACTGAAAGAGAGCTGGTTACAAAGTACCTTAACACAATCATCCTAATTTTGTAGGCGCTTGTGTATAAATGTAAGCACAAGAAAAAAGTCAGAAAAAGGCCCAAAATGTTAACATAGGTTTTCTCTGAATGTTAGGAATATAATTTGAGTCTTTTAATGATTTTTAATGTGGTCTATTTTTTTTTACCTTGGGCATAAATACTTGTGTTATCAGAAAAAGTAAAGCTATATTACTTTGTAAAACCATAATGCATGCATTAATACAAAAGAGCAAACTTTAAGTGCTCTGTCCTAGTCAACTGCTCACAAGGAATATTTGTAAGGAATAAGAGCACCAAAACAATTTTTTTAATCCTTCTGAAATGTATTTTACATTTGCACACTTATTTAAACAATGATTTTGGGCTCAAGAGATTTTTCTTGTTATTTCTAAGCGCCAAATGAAGCTTTAAAGTGTTGAGGCTGCTGCACGTCTGCTGTATGGATAAGTCAACCCTCGGACATTCACTAAGGTTTTATAAGAACCTAATTTTACAAGAGCAGATATTCTAAGTTTTAGAGTTTTGTGCTTGCTTCAGCAGCACATATTCTAAGTTTGAGATTGTTTTCCTATAAAGTTAAGTGATGAATAAAAACCTGAATAAATGCAAACAGCACCTGTTTAAATAAAACTGATATCAAAATTGCTACTTTAACCTAGAAGCCTTATAAATGACAATAGAGAAGCTACAGTATCTTATTTTACATGTAAGAAATAGTGAACAACACTGTAATAGAGGTTATTTTGTAATTCTTAAACAATGTATGATAAGTAAACACCTGTGACTATATTCTTATCTTTTGCTACAACCAAGTTTAATTATCACAGTTATAGTACATGCATTAAAGGCACTATGACACCTCAACCCAGTTATCTAATATTCCTATTTAAATGGGATTAAGTTCCTGAAAAAAAGAAGAAATTTAGATGAAGGAGAAAATTATCTTAGGCTTATAGAGGAATATTATAATGTATGCTATGGTAAGTACAAATAGGCCTATGAGAAAAGATTCTTACATAGAATAAAGTGACTTATTGCCAAGAGCCATCCTAGGCAATGATTAATCCTTCCTACTTTGTTATTTCTTCACTTTCCCTCATGATACTGACTTCTTATCTCTACAAGGGGATGTTCCCAAAGACTCTGTCTTCAGACTACTCTTCTTGCTGTACTTGCAACCCTTAGAAAGAAATTTCACTCCTTCCTTAGCTATCACTTCCAAGCACAGAATTTTTAAATCTATTTACATCTTAACTTCCATCTCTCCCAAACCCATATTTCTGTTTACATGGCACCTCACCATGTATAATGTGCCGTATCAGTATATCTATAACTCACCACCTTCCCCAAAACTACTTCCTCCTACTTTTGTTAATAACATTATTACTCCATCACCTCAGATATTTTCCAAGTCTCTGTATCCTACACCTAATCCGTTTACATGATCCTTATAGTCTATCTGTGCCAACACATCATTTCCTTTCTTTCAACTGCTACTGCCTACATTCTACTTCAGGCCCTCGTTATCTCTTGCCAGGACTACTATACCAGTTTCTAGGTCAGATTGTAGTATCTTACATGTGGTCCTGCATATTCATCTTTCTAAATCAGTTCTGAAGCCCCCAGAGCTTCATCTTACCTACTTAAATAAAAAACTTTACTTATCATTTACAGTCTTCCTTAATATGGCCTAGAACTTATCTTCCATTCAACCCTACTTGAACCTTAGATTACAGTTTAATTAGACTTAACGGTTCACAAAACAGACCGTGGTTTCTTACCTTTGTGCCTTTGCCTATTTTCTTCACCTGAACCCATCAACTTCACCAACAACCCATCCCCTACCTTATCATCCCTGATTGTGATACTGATCATTTCTTACTGAGAATTCCCACAGGATTTTGTTTTCAGGTTTACAGCACATACTTTATAATATCGGGCTGGCCATAAAGTTCGTTCGGGTTTTTCGCAAGGTGTTACGGAAAAACCCAAATGAACTTTTGGGCCAACCCAATATGTGCATGTTTCATTGACCCAAACTCCCACACTCCCTAGTGGAAAGACCTTGAGGGTAAGTATTATGCTTTCACATCACACTACACACAGGCATTACATATTATTTGTTGAAGTGTATCTACCAAAATGTTCCAGAGAATCAAAGTTACTTCTATCACCCAATAGGCAGTGAGAGTGGGGAGGAAGAAGTGATATAAGAAAGATTTCTTTGACCTCCAGAAGCTTTGGCACCATCCATGGTACTCATGCCTTACTGTGTACCCCTAAAAAGAAAGTTCAAACTTGTTTTTCAATTTGATGTTCTAGGATGGGTGCTGAGAAATATGAAGAATAAGAACGTTACACCCTCTAGAGCAGCTCAAGACTGCAGTATTATTACCACTAGGTTACTACCATTATTTATTTTTCCTTTTCACTTCTACTAATAGGAAAACAGATTTGGTAGAGATTTAAGTATATAGATAATGGGGAGGGGGCAGGAAAACAATGATAATATTTAAGACGGACGTGTATGGACATGCAGGAGAGAATTCTCCTCTACAGATCACACCCTTGAGACCTACTGTCTGTTTCTTTCTCTTCTCCAGCAGTAAATCTCTCACCCACTCTAGTCCAGCCTGTTACTCTACCTGGAAAATATGTAATTATTTTTGCTCTGGGTATAAACTATTACCACATTAGTTAAAGTACAGGTACTAAGTTCTCATTCAATCAGTTATCTGAAGTATTAAACAACTTCTTCTAGACCTGCCATGATTAATTTCATTTCATCAATTCATTTCAATAAACCCTTATTGACTGAATGTATATTACATGACAGACATTGTACTATGTACTAGAATATGAAAATGAAACACGTTCTCTGCACTCAAGAAGATTTTAGTCCAATACAGAGAAAAGCATATAAAACAGAAAATGTCAATGCAGAATGGTCAGGGATATGAATGCCATCCAACTAGGAACACTATCTTATATGACCATCCAAGTGGAGTCTCACAGAATGGAGTTAATCCTGCCAAGCAGGAGTAAGAGAAGATATTCCAGGCAGAGCAAACAGCCTAAACAAGGGCACAGAGGCATGAAAAAGATTCTTGAATCCAGAACACATGTAAGTTTGCTATTATTAACATATCATCAGTTCACTACTGCCCCTACTTTAAGACTGAGACATGTGCTGAAATTTAAGATTAGTATAGTAACTAACCGTTTTCCTTCTCACAAAATTGTTAAGAAATTAAAATATCACACATATAATTAACCTAGTAAGGTCATGGCAGAGTCATAGCACCTGATTCAATAATGGGGCTGAGGAGAGGGGAGTATTCTTAGATTACCTATTTACTGAGCTTTCAATTCTGCATTCCAAAAAATCTTGTTACTAAACCAAATTGAAAAGAAAGGTCCCATCACTAAATCTCACAGAAATTAAAGTAATAGCTTCTAAAATATATGCCAAGGGCTTCCCTGGTGGCGCAGTGGTTGAGAGTCCGCCTGCCAATGCAGGGGACACGGGTTCGTGCCCCGGTCTGGGAAGATTCCACAGGCCGCGGAGCGGCTGGGCCCGTGAGCCATGGCCGCTGGGCCTGCACGTCTGGAGCCTGTGCTCCGCAACGGGAGAGGCCACAACAGTGAGAGGCCTGCGTACCGCAAAAAAAAAAAATAATAATAAAATAAAATATATGCCAATCATTATATACAAATAGAAAAATTTTGCCAAAAGACCATACAAGATATTAGAAATATACTTATGTCTTCAGAA